CGCCAGCGCCCCGGGCGGGGGCCGCCGGAGCGCAGGATGGCAGCTCCGACCATGAAGGAGAGGCAGGCGTGCTGGGGCGCCCGGGACGAGTACTGGAAGTGCCTGGACGAGAGCGAGGACGCTTCGCGGTGCCGCACGCTGAGACGCGCGTTCGAATCCAGCTGCCCCCAGCAGTGGGTAAGCCGCGCTGCCTGGTTCCGGTCCTTAGGGCCGCCCCGCGCCCCCGAGCAGCAGAAGAAGCCCGTCTGGTAGCCCAGGCGTGTTTTCTGGGCGCTGCTGGGAGCAGAGACCGAGATCATCCGGAAAGGGCGTGGACAGAACCGGAAACTCGGGCTCTCCCTGAGCAGACCCCGGGGTGGGGGCGCCTGATCTGGCAGTACCTGGCATGGTGACCGGCCCAGGGCAGAAGCAGGCAGAGACCCACAGTAGGACACGGTCTGTGAGTAGGAGCGAGAGGGCTGGTGGCGGCCCTGCCTCCCAGGCAGCACCCCTGCCTCCCAGGCGGCACCCCTGCTCTGCCTGTCCTGGCCTTACAGTGGGGACCCTGCGCAGGCGCGGCTGGGGAGCCGTCCTGGCCAAGTGCACCGTGGACGTGGGCCTTGGGGTTCCGCTTCCGGAGGAGGCACCTGAAGCCCAGCACAGAGATCATCCCCCCCCTCCCCCCCTGTTCTGCAGGAAGTGGCAGGACTGCCCAACCTGAGTCAGACCCAAGGCTGTGTGAGATTTGAACCCAGACTCCTCTGTGTTTTTTCAGTGTGTCAACGCCTGAGTTATAGCTTGACAACAGATAATTTTGGAGATGAAGTGGTTGGTTTTAGGCCTCACCTTTTTAAATGAGACTTTGAAGGAGACCAGGGAAGGGTCTCCTGCAGTGTGGGGGTCATGGACTGGGGGGCCCAAGGCAGTGGACAGAAACCACTGTAGGTGAGCACTTAGGGAAGCAGCCTGGGTAGGCTGTCCCTCGACTGTGATGTTCACGGGTGACTCGTGTTCGTGCCGAGGGCGGTGAGTGGGACAGTACAGTGACCATTTAAGCAGGAGCTGTCGCACACGGTTTCCCTCCCTGGGCTACGGTGCAGGTGGCCCGTCGGAGTTGGTCACCTTGACACTGCTGCCACTGGCTGGTGCGCCACGGTCAGTGAGGCAGGTGGAGCCGAGAGCTGCGGAGGACGTGGGCTCCGTGCAGGGGTGGCTCCTGAGGTGAGCCGGGGCTGATGGCTGTTGCAGCCCGCGTTTTCCCAGGAGAACCTCGTCTCTGTACCACCTGTCTCTGACAGCCCTGTCATTTCCACTGGGGTGAGCTCAGAAAGTGCAGTTTTCAAAAAGCTAGGTCCGGAGCTCGCCTCAGGGCTACTGAGCTCTAGGAGAGGCTCCCGCTTCACAAAGGGCTCTGGTCCACTGGTGGCGAGACAGCCGTGGCCGAAGTCGCGATCCTGGCCCTTGGGGAAGGCCCACTCAGCCCGACGCCCATCCTCTGCCCACAACCGCTGCTGCTTCTCCACCTGCTGAGAGACCTGGCTGCCCATGGCATGGCCGGCCAGACCCCTGTGTCAGCAAGGCCTTTCATGGCCGCGTCTCCCCTGCCACGGCACCTGCCAGTCTCTAGGTCACTGCGTCCTAGTCAACTGGCAGTTACTGAGCACCCCTCCGCTGCCAGACCTTGCTTGATCTGAGCACTGGAGATGCCTCGTCTTCTCGTTCATCCCCGGCAGCCCATGACCCTGAAGGTGGGGGGTCCAGGCCAGTGCTGGCAGCAGTGCACAGTGGCAGGCAGCTCTGCGGGGTGGCGGTACATTCAGGTGGGCAGATGGGCGGGATCAGGCCACGGGTGGCTGTGTCCTACTGCAGACTTCGGGCACTGACCCTGAAGGCAAGGGGGTGGTTAGAAGTGAGTTTCGGGACAGACAGAGGGTGACCGTGATCAGGGTGGAGTGACGCTCCCTGTGGGGACGAGGGAAGGACAGCGAAGCATCCAGTGGACAGGCGTGGCTCGCTGACATGCTGGAGGAGAGGCCTCCGGGGAAGAGCCCAAGTCCAGACCAGGTCGGGCAGGAGTGGCAAGCCCTCTGGGCAGCGCCATCAGGCTGGCAGCTCAGAGTGACAGGAGGTCCAGTGAGCCGAGCTCTGTCACCAAGACATTCAGGACGTCGTCCAGTTCCTTGCTCAGCCCCGTCAGTGCCATCCTCTCGTGCAGTCAGCTTAGGGGCGCCAGGGAGACCACCCACCAAGGAACCCGGGCACCTGACCAGCAAGGGACAGCACTACAGGACTTGGGAGGGTGCGACAAGTAAAATTTTCATGGTGCGGTCCGGGCCGAACAGAGCCGTGTGTAAACAGCCATTGACCCTGGCCTGGGCAGCAGGGGAGGTTCTGTTGGCTGCACCTGAAGGTCAAGGGTCATGGCCAGAGGTCCTGAGTCTTGCCCCGGGCCAGGGGCCGAGACTGCTTCCATTCAGAACCTTAGGTATTCGGGCCCAAATGGGGTGCCTGTCCTTGCTGACCCGCCTTGGAGGAGCAGTGTTCTGACAGCCTGCGATGTGGGGGCGCAAGGCTCCTTAGTGAATATGCCCGAAGCCATAGTGTGTCCCGGGGATGGAGATCACTTGGCTCTGTTGGCGTCTCTGTCGCGGTCTTGGCCCAAGCTAGGCTTTACTTGTAAGCCCCTCTGGATGGTTAGCCAACCCTGAGGAAGGCTTGTGGCCCAGGAAGCAGTGTTTTCTGTCCCAGGTGGAGACGTGTGGTCTCCCGCCAGGTGAGCAGGGCAGCCAGGCAGACACGGGCGCAAACCAGACAGCAGTGGTCTCACATGGCGTTTTCCTCAGGCCAGGCTTTTTTTTTTTAGATTTTTGCCAGAAGGCACGTGTGCTCGCAGTAGAGACGCAGAGCGGAAACGTGAGAAGTCACTCCCCTGAGGAGATGATCTCGCTGCAGTCCCTTCTCTTCTCCTCTCGGGGTCTCGGGTATACATACATGCAAACACCCGCACACAGTGTGTATTTTAAGCCGCTGGGTCTGGGACTCGAACCATAGAGTCAGCCATGCAGCATCCAGTGCCTTAACCACCACGCCACCTGCTGGCTCTGGGTCTTTGTACTTTTGTGACTTGACTTTATCGGGACTTGGGGTTGAGAATCTGTAGTCCCTCTGGGAAGGGAACATAAATAAAGTGAAGCCTTAGCAACTGAAGGCGCCCTTCACCCACTTGTAACCTGTATATAGTTGTTAACGTGGCGGTGTTCCTGGCTGAGGCCTACCTAATGCAAATGGCTCATCAGCTGCAGAATGTACTTCAGAGCCAAGGGGCAGAGCGTCCAGTTCCTCGACACGGCAGACTCCGGACCCAAGAGCTCCAGGGACTCAGAACCTGTCGGCACCCGCCAGCGTGTGCGTGGGCCACCTCCGAGACGGCGCCCTGGGTGACTCTGGCTCTCAGTGGAGTCTGGCCAGAGGTCCACACCGTCCACGGAGACCTCACCAACTGCCCCGTTCAGGATGGTTCTAGAGCCATGTATCCAGTTTCTAATAAGTCACATTTAAACCTGGGCTTTTATTTAAGCCATGTAACTTGTTCTTTAATCCCTTTTTCCTCAACAGATAAAATATTTTGATAAAAGAAGAGACTACTTAAAGTTCAAAGAAAAATTTGAAGCAGGAGAGTTCCAGCCTTCAAAAACAACTGCACAGCCCTAGGCTGCCCCAGAACTTTTCAGAGACTGTGATGCTTCCTTCTGGACGTGGCGACGTGCTCTGGGACAGCAGGGGTTTAGATCATGCAGACGACAGCTGCGTCCTACACACACCGTTGTAGACCTCAGAGGGGCAGGAGACGGAAGAGCCCACCATTCAGATCCGAATTGAAATAAACTGATACTAAATATGTGCAGTTATAGTTTGGTAATTAACCTGTGTTTTAAGAAAAGAACCAAAGCCTGTTAGGAAAAGACATGCACTTCTTTCTTTTTCTCCTTGGGCTACAGGGTGCACCGTGGGCAAAGACTCCTACCAGCAGCAGGCTCAGGCAGAATGGGGCTGATCTGTCACTGCATCCTGGGAGTCCCACCCTAACACGGACCCAGCAAGGATTAGGGTGAGGAGGAGGCTGAGCTTCAGAACGTACAGGTAAGGGGCCAGCAGGTGGCATGGTGGTTAAGGCACTGGGCTCCCACATGGCTGGCTGGTTTGAGCCCTGGACTCAACAGCTTGAGAATCACACCAGGCACGTTGTGTGTGCATGCTCAGAATCCCAAGAGGAGATTGGAGGGAAAGGGATTGCGGTATGGCCATCCTCCCTGGGAGGTGATTTCTCGCTTTCTATCTATCTGTGTGTGTCTGCTGGTCCAGCAAGCACACGTACCCTATAGCAAAAGTCTCTCTTAAAAAAAATACAGATGAAATACTCAACCCCATGTATCAAAAACCTTACAGCTAATATGCTCGACAGTGAGACAGTGACTGGATTCCTAGCTAGTTAAGTAAGAGAGAGGAAAAAACATACAGACTTTGAAGGAAGGAAGGAGCTGGCCCTATTCACAGGTGACGTCATCTCTAGAAAATAAAAATAGCAGTTATAGAGCGGTCATGGAAGTGAAGCCCGTGCATGGGAAAACTGCCTTCGACCACCAGCAGGCGTCTGGAGTTTAACAAAGTTCTTCAGTTACGTGGCACCCGGAGAAAACGCCAAAGAGTACAGTTCTCAGCGTCACGGTACAGCGGTCTTACTTGCTGAGACGGAGAGCGTTTAAAAGCAGAGTTCAAACCAAATGGAGAGACTATTCATGGATTAGAGGAGTCAATATTATTCAGATATTGTCAGGATCACTCCAGTTTGAGATTTCAGCAGGCTGATTCTAAAATGCATGTGGAAAACAGGACTTTGGGGAAATGGTGCTTCAGTGGATACCATGAGGCAAATGTTACTAAGACCTGCACCCTGGGCAGGCTAGTGTTAAGCTGTTGGGGAAGTCATGACTTGTTTTTCCGTTTTTCTGTGCAATAATGCATCATGACTCTCCTGACGACCCAGCAGGTCATGAGAACAGGCTCAGGTCAGCAAAAACAGAAGCTAGAGATGAGGGTCAGAGCAGTCCTGTGGGGCCAGGTTGGTGTCAGATTCGCAAGAACTCCCGTTTAGGCTCCCGTGTGCAGACGGGGAAATGCCGCATCTGCACACGTGCATGCATGTGGGCAGGCAACAGACATGGGGTCCCTGGCTCAGCTGCTGAGTGTTCCTGCAGTGACACTGGTGGCAAAAGCACCTCACCCCAGACCTCAGCTCCCAATACCATTCTCCAAAAACGGAGACTCTGGAAACTGTCTGATTCTAGACCAGGAGCAGGAAAGGTGAAGACTAGAGCATTGTAAGCCGCCCAAAAGGAAGGACGTACTGAAACAGAAATAATAAAATAGCGCATCAGACAGACAGCAGAGCTCATCACGCACACTGATGGCAGAGTAAGGAACTGGTGTCTACAGAACATTTCCAACTGATGTGGAAGAGACGAGGGAGAGTGCCGTCGGCAGACCACCACAGCCATCGCCACGGCAACGGCCACTGATGAGCGCTGGTTAGCGGACGCCATGCTCGTGAGAAACGGTAGTTGAGCCACCAAGTATCGCCCCAAAGTGATGCCTGGAGTGGCCTTTTGAAAAAAACTTTTTTTGAATTTTATTTCTAATGAAAGGTGATACTCCAAAGAGGGTATTTTTTATTCCCCTTTGTTTTGGAGAGATGTTTGCTATAGGGTGTGTGCACTTGTTAGAGAGGCAAGGTGCAAAATCACCCCCAGGGGATGGCCAGTTCTCAATCGCATCTCCTCTCAGGATTTGGGGCACACGCATATGTGCCTGGTGTGAGTTTGAGGCCACCAGGTCTGGGTCTTGAACCACGATCAGCCATGTAGGAGTCCGGTGGCTTAACCACTACACCACCTGCCGGCCTACCCAAGAGGATCTTTATACTGTGATACACCCCCAGCCTCAGCCAGCTCCAGATCACGGGCACACATGCCCAGCATGTGTAAGGAGGTCCCTAGATGGGAATCTAGAACCTTCCGACATGGGTTAGCCACATGGAGCATCACACTGGGCCACTGCAGCACGAAGAGACCCTCAACTGTGGGCTTGACAAATCCCCCAGATCTCTGATACTCTCCTTCCAAGAGGGAACCTACTCTCCCGCCCCTTGAGTGGAGACTGAACTTAGTGGCTGGCTTTAAGAACAGACTGACTGGAAAGGGGTAGGTGGCAATGCTACCTTCACCAAGTGGCTAATCTGAGCCCTGAGCCCTGCCCAGCCGGTTCCATGGGGCACTGCGGAGAGGCCAGCACTGACCACTTCAGGATTCTTCCTGCAGCTCAACGCCTCCATCTAGCCAGGAGCCAGACAGCCCTAAACTTGGCACACCTGCACACATCTGGCCAGTAGTCTGCAGGGTGTCCAGGGCAGGAAGGACCGCGTTGGAGAGCCAAGGAGTCAATGCAGCCTGGCCTCCTGGCCTAGCCTGGAACAGGACAGCAGGACAGCGGGAGACCTGCAGGTGCCGTGCGTGGTGTCTGGAAGCGCACCGACTTCCCGACTGATAAACACACCGTGGCCGTGTAAAATGACATCCGAGGCACCGGGCGAAGGGCATGAGGACACTCTGCCCTTCAAAACTAGTTATTTCAAAATAGAACTGCAGAAGGAGGACTGTACAGCAGTCAGGAGGGGCCTGGACGGCTGGAGTGCGGTACTGGACGCCGACAAACGGGTAAGTGAGGTCATCTAAGTAATAGCATCAAAAAAAGAGCAGAAACAGTGCCAGCAGCTCCCCGGGCTTCGGTCTCCTCGGTTCTGATGGCAGTTGCTGAGCCCCGAGGGCTCCTGTCATTGTAGGTGCCCAAGGACGGGCTGAGTCTCACCACCCTGTGAGCTCCATGAGCAAGGGAGGCGTGTGGAGAATGTCAGGACGATGCGGGTGATGGCCCAGCTCGCAGCTTTACCCAAGACGGTGTCACTGGTTTCCTGGGCACGAATCAGCAGGTAGCAGGCGGCAGAGCGGGTGCCGAGCCTTCCTGTCTCACCAGACGGTCTTACGTGTTTGGGCCTGGGTGCTCCCAGGGGCAGCCGCTGCCGCCTGCCATGCTATGAGCATCGCCCACATCTACAGGACCAGGAATGAGCTTTTTAAAAAATTTGAATTTTTTTTTTTAGAGATTGCTATAGGGCATGTGTGCTCACCAGAGAGAGACAAAACCAAGAAATCACGCCCGGGGTGAAGGCCATGCCACAGTCCCTCCTCCAGTCTCCTTGGATTTGGGGCATGCACACACACGTGCCCGTTGTTAGTTTTAAGCTGCCGAGTCCAGGACTTGAATCATGATCGACTACGTGGAAGTCCAGTGACATAACCGTTACGCCATCTGCTGATCCCAGGAAGGAGCTCTTAAAAATTCTCAGGTTTTGTTTTCACAACTGCTTAAAATATTGGGTTGCTGAGAAAGTCATGATGCTTTTTTGCATAGGAAAACGTAGAAAAATACGTTTCTTGACGACCTGACACATCGCTAAAGTAGAATACAAGTGACCTAACAGTATTTGGTAAAGGAGGCAATATATAATTTATTTAAGGCACATAGAAACATTTTGGCATTAAACTGCAAGGAAAACCAAACTGTTGCAGCCAACTCCACACCTGTTCCACCCGTCCAGACGGCTTAGCGAAGCTGCCTGTCTCCGTGGCATGGATAGTCGGGTGGGCGAGGTGCAGGGCCTGCTGGGCCATGGCTGCGCCCCGGCAGCCGCTGCCTGGTGTACTCCCAGGTCAGCAGGGCCCCGCTCACGTGGACGTTCAGCGAGCGGGTGATGCCGTGCTGCGGGATCTCCACACACACGTCCAGCTGCTGGATCAGATTCGCTGGGATCCCCTCACGTTCATTTCTGGTGAAGAAAATGGAGGAAGAAAGGTTAGCTTTCCTGCAGTAGATTTTCTTTCCTCAAATATTCTGATTGCTACTGAAAGGCAGATTAGTATGTGAGGTCAGTCTGTGATACCGAGATGCAGAGAAGGTTAAGATTTATAGCCCCCTTCCGTGTTCACCTGACCAGCCTAGACAGGTGTAATGCGAGGTGTCTTGGGGTTGCGGAGGGGGCTGCCATCAACAGTCCCCGTCCATGTGCAGTGGGTGTGAGGTGGGGGAGTACGGGAGTGTGAGACGGGGCAGCTTCTAGACTGGCTCAGGGTGCGTGACACAGCCAGGTCCTACCCCAGCAGGAGCAGGGACTTCTCAGGGAAGCAGTACTGGGTCAGGTCCACGCTCCTGGCTGTCTGTTCCACTCCGATGATGGTGTAGCCTTCTGCCTTCTTCCGCTGCAGGTAGTCAGTGAGCTGATGTGGCCTCACCTTGTCATTAGTGTAAAAAGAGAGACTGTTAAACCGCCCAGTCTTAGCCCTCTGCAGTGCAGTGAGAGCTAAGAATGAAGGCTTCCTGGGTGAAAGTCTTTATAAAAGGATACAGTTACACGTTAGGAAAAAAGATTTCTTTAGACCAGCAGATGGCATGGTGGTTTAGGCACTAGATCCCATGTGGCCAGATCTGGCTACTTTAAAACAGGCTGGGCACACGTGTGTGTGCCCAAGCCCTGAGAACAGAGAAGGGGATTGTGTGGCCACCGCCCTGGGGGTCATTTCCCACTCCTCCCCAGGCCCCACTGCCCGGCAGGCACGTGCCCTATAGCAAACGGAAACTAAAACTAAAACAAGCCTCCACTAAGCCCAGAGGGCGCCGAGGCAGGACAGGCCGCGGTCAAGAACTCCATATCATTGGTTTCTGAAACCCAGCATGGGGATGTGGGAAGGTACGCAGGAAGACAGGAGCAGGCTGGTCACACCAGAAGAACTGTTTTTAAACCACTGAAGGCTAAATACTCGTTCCTGAGAAAAGCAGGCCATAAACACAGAGCCCTGGGATGTATCTTCGCCAACAGCCAGTCTAGTGACCCGACGCCCACTCACCTCCACTAAAGGAAGCCACTGCTCGGCGGAGACGCTGAGGGCCTGGAACTGCCTGTCGTGGACGCACTGCAGGTTGCCGACCACCAGCGCCGAGGCCCCAAACACCTCACAAGTGCGGCACAGCCCTGCAGACACCAGGCAGACCGAGGCTGTTCCCAAGAGAATGCGGGGCTCATCCTACCCCCGCTCCCTAGGAAGCCCCAGCGAGGGTTACGTGGAGAAGAGCCAAGGATGGCCGCGGGGTGATGGCAGATGCTCAGGAGAGAGATTTTGGTGGTCTCACCTCCTAAATTGGTGGCTTTATCCGTGAGCGAGGCCACCACGATCAGCCTGCTGACGGACTTCCTGAGTCTGGCGGCACGGCCCTGGGGCGGGAGCTCAGAGTCTGCATCGGGAACGCTGTTCTCCCATGGGATCACCTTCTTCTGGACATCGGCCCACTCGGACGGGTCATCTGCTTCCCCTGAGTGAGCACCTGGGGAGGGAAAGGAGAACAGCCCCAGCATGTAGAGCCCTGAGTGTTCCGCTACGTTACTTACAGCTTAGATGTACTCTGAGTGTACACTGATAGGCTGCGATTTCTCTGCACACGAACTGAAGACCTGTACTTGGACACAGACATAATCGAATTTTTTTTTTAAAGAGACTTTTGCTATACGGTATGTGTAACTGCTGGAGAGAGACACAGAGAAAGTGAGAAATCACTCCCTCCCACCCAGAGCGAGAGGGCCACACCACAACCTCTCCTCCATTCTCCTCTTGGGATTTTGGGCACACACACACACACACACACACACACACACACACACAGTGTGGAGTTCAAGCTGCCAGGTCCAGGACTCAAAACTGTGGTTGACCACGAGGGAGTCCAGTGCCTTAACCACAATGCCACCTGCTGGCCCTCATAATCAGCATTTTTAACAGAATTTAATTTTTAACATCATTTTTTAAGAGAGATTTTTGCTATAGGGCATGTGCATTCGCCAGAGACGGAAAGTGAGAAATCATCCCCCAGGGGGATGGGCATACCACAATCCTTTCTCCTCGTTTCCTCTCGGGATTTTGAGCACTCACACACATGCACCTGGCGTGAGTCTCAAGCCACCAGGTCCAGGACTTAAACTGTGGTTCAACTACATGGGAGTCCAGCGATGTAACCATTATCCCATCTGCTGGTCTCTGTTCTCTATGTCATAAGAGTCAAGGATATTTTGGGCTCTTCTCATTCCCCACATCCTTTTGCTTCTTTTGTGTTCTTGCCCAACCCTCTGCTGG